GTTGTACTCATCTTAGGTAAGTAGCACTGTGACTAGAATCGTCTAAAAACCAACTTTGCCATAATCGATATGTAAACGTTCGCTATCACTACGTGTATTTATATGAGCTATCTATACATATGTCCTCTGGTTATTGCTACTTGATCTGTTCCATCCTATTTCCCGTAAAAACTTTTGTGCTTACTAAAGAAATATGAATAGTTTGTTTATAGAAGCTCTGTGATTTGAAATTGCCACGTATGAGCATAGAGATCTCGTAATTAACAAACTTATGACCTAAGGTTAAGCTCTAGAAATTTCAAATGAGTCACCGCAACGCTCTGTTAGCAGCCGACCTCTGGACGTGAGTAACACCGGTTGCCTCGCTGTGCGCAGCAGTGGGAACACGTGTGATGCACTTGCCCACAGCTCCGGTAGAAGCGGTTCACCTCGTAGAGGCCAAGGTTCAAATGCTAGCGCGACTTGATAAGCAGCGTTCATACTCTGCGACGGTAACGGACGAACGGACGTTCTCCCAAAAATGTCGAATCCCTGATCTTCCCAAGTATGAACGCAGCCCTATGGGTGCACTCATTGCCGAAAAGTGATTTCATCTTTTTTAAAAAGAAATGAGTCGAATAATCTACTAAATCCGATGAATGATGGTGACCGGATGTCTTTCCCCTCGCTCGGCGGGCTCAGGAGATGCTGATAAACGAGTTCCCAAAGTTTCCTCATTGGGATAAGGAGACTTTGGAACCTTATGCCCTAAGTCACCTCTGATAAGTAGACTACCACGCACAGCATTCAGATTCCAAATAAATATACAAAAAGAAATTGGGTTGCTGGACATACCTGCCCACTAATCTCGTGACGAGTAGAGACCATGACAAAATGAATCCCAAATGGAGCAAATGAAGCAGTTGCAATAATTCAGAAACGCGCCGAAGAATTAGCCGTCACCGACAATCAGCTCTCCGGTGCCTTGCCATTGTTAGAAACCAGTCAGAAACTCTATAAACTGAATCCGTGCGAGTTTCGTGAAACACTCACAAACAGTAAACATGCAATTTTCTGATACACGCATTAAAAACATTGAAAGTATTCACGAATGGCAGTCGTAAATAAACCAAGCGCCTTATTTTGGACCATCCCAGTATATCCTAATCTTTATTGCAATCTATGACAGCTATGCAAAAATGACAAAAATGATATAAGACAAATGACCTAATAATCAGATTTAGTTAATATAACTATACAAGGTATGAGTAAAAAGTGGAAGTGTTATATACGCTACTGTTCAAATGTCAAAAGTGAAGAATAATGTTCCCTAACGTTAATTGCAAACTAAAAATCTGAACGAATTGCAATCTATGAATTGAATTCCTTCCTCGGAGGATTTGAGTCTACTGAACTTCTGAGTTTGTTAAAAGAAAACAATACATGCATATTCAAAGAATACAAAATTGTGAAGAATGAAGAGAGAATAGTACTCAAGCCTAAAAGAAAGTAACGAGCATATACTTGTGATGTATAAAAGAAAAGCTAAGCTTCATGAAGAGTTAAACTTATAAGATGGTACTTTTACTCCTTATTGCATGGATGATAAGGATTAGATAAAATGGATAAAAGTCCAGGTGAGAAGAAATCAGATATATAGCGTAGTTCGCTGCGGACGGTTGGGCGTGTCAGTGCGGCTGCGTTTGGCGCGGTGCCAAACTCGTTCTCCACCAGTTGTTGAAGCGGGCAAGTGACAATACTGTATCATATCTTCGTATTACTCGTTTTCTACCACTTTTTGTCGCTTCAACAAGAAGGCAGAGAACGGCTTTGACGGGGTGACACACTCATACTGCCTGACACGCCCAACCGTCTGCAGCGAAGCTAGAGTATAATTCAGACGGGCAACAAAAAATACCATACAACCTGAAGAGTCTAAGCTAACTCAGAACTCTGAGCGCTAATTCGCTCGTTTAGGAGGAGGTTGTAGTGCCAGCTGGCCCTTGGGTAATATAACAGGCATCATTTACCACTGTTTCCAGACTCACAATAAAAACCTACAACATAAAGAGGTGAACAATAAAAGAGACGAGAGAACTTCATCGGGAACATATTTTTATTTTTCACCAACCGACTCTAAGCGCTTGTACACCTGGTCCAAAACTCACACCTAATACAGGAAAAGAAGCTCGAAAGGACGAAACGTTGAAGGATTACCCCCTTCTCTCTCAGAAACCGATAATCCACACGACTTCTCCCTCTCTCTCTCTCAAGCGAAACTAGAGCTTTGAATTGAAAAAGAACCACCGACCTGCACTGTGTGGTGACACTGAGGAGCCTCC